TATCATATCATTATATATCAATTTAATTTAAAATAAACAAAGCTTTACAATCCATATTTAGCAGTTTTGTTATAACAAAATTTGGAAAAAGGGGGGTTTGGGTGGCTGTTTTAAGTGTTTAAGGTGTTCAAGTGGTGGCTGGGTGGGTGGCATAGATAGTGTTTCAAAAGTGTTCAAAGGACTAATAAGTGTAGTAGTAGTAGTTTTTCTATTTATACTCTTAAGCACAACGAAAATTAATAAAACAGAAGTCAAAACAAATAATAAGCTAAACATAAATTAAATATAATTTTAGAAGGAAAAAAATTATACTGGCAAACATTTAGCATTTAGAGACACAAAAAATTAAACATTTTCAATTTTTTTTTTTATAAAACAAATACAAACTAATAATCATAAATATAGAGTAAAAAGCGAGATCTAACATAACATTAACTTGAACAAGGTAGATTTTTTTGTTATAGTTTAAAAAAATATTTTTTTTTTACAAAAAAATTCCACAAACTAAAATTATTTCTCTGTAGAAAAAAATTAAAATTTTTTTCATCTATACAATTCGTTGTCTAAATAAGTAGATGATAGCCTAATCTCTTTTTTTAATTACAATCAACATTTTACTACAAAAAATGTCCATTTGTAAACAGAGAACAACAGAGAGAGAGTGATTGTGGGGGGTAAAGAGAAAATTAAAGAGAGTCAATAAGTACATTACAACAGCATCGATGCAAAGAGAGAGCTTTGTTTTAAAACACCAATATGGATTTTTTTGCAATAAATCCTCTTATATACAGGGTGATACGAAATGCATACAACATATTTGAATGGCCAATAAGGAATAGATAAAAATGTAATTAAAAAAATGAAAAATACCTAGAATGACACTTCCGGTTTTGGAGTTATAGCCACAGAATTTTGGGTATAACTCAGAAATTATACATTATGTTAGAGTCATATGTAAAGTGACTTTTTCATATTGCATTTCATTGTTATAGCATACTTTAAGGAGCTCACAACAATTTTTCAACTAAACTTTTAAACTGTATTTTATACCTTAAAAAATTGAAAATTCTGAGAATTACCTAAAAGTATGCTATAAAAGTTACAGCTAACACTTTACACATGACTAACATCAATCTAGCCTTTACATGGAACTACTCGGGAAAAAAATTAAACAGCTTCGAGAAAAAACAATTCTTGATTGAGATTTTGCGGAAATATATGATAGGTCTGTCGAGTTTTTCATTTCGACTGGGATTTTGGGAAAAGTAATGCCATTTTTTAGATCTCTAAATTTTTTTCCGTTTCTGTAAGGACTTTGGACTTTGAGCCTGAATTTTATATGAGAATTTTATATTCAAGGAACTGATACAGCTTGAATCGAGGTGCTCGACCCTGGAACTTTTCTAATATCGTAAAGTTTTTTTTTACCCCGAAAGGCCTTACAATGAATAAAAGATTTTTTCAAGAATCTAAGCCGAAATCGTTCAAAAGCTGTCCAAAAAATGTGAAAATTACTCAATCCCGATTATTACCGCTAGAACGCTTGAAACCTGACCTAACTTTGTGTGGTGACTGAACTGAACTTTGACTCATTTTTCAGGATTTTCAACTTACATTTTGAGGTTAAGGCAGGCTTTCCAGAAAATGTCTTAAAAAATACTATGAATGGGTTCTCCTTTATGAACACAACGGATTGTAAAACTTGGGATTACAACACAATTAGGACATTTGAGCGGAACATTTCCTAGGATCCTTATATTTTATATCTTGTAAAGTTTGAGGTATTTTCTTCTTTCGGTTAGGCCCTTTAAAATACCAAAAAAGGGTGCTCTTTTATGAAACCACCGATTTGTAAGAAATTTAATTAGAAAGTAAAGATCCGAATTTTTTTAGAAGCTATAAATTCCATTATTATTTTTGGTTATTTTTGTGGCCATAACTCTTAATCCAGTTCATCTTTTAAGTCCAAATTTTCCATTAATTGTTGCCTTCTCCATTCACATTTCGAACACCCTGTATATATATTTATAATATTGTTACATATATATTTGTTTTTTTTATAAAATAGTTTAATTTTTCAATAAATATTAAGCACATAGAATAATAAGCTTTTAAGCTAATTAATTAAGTTTTGTTTGTTTTTTATTTTCGGGGCATTACTACACAAGCTTTCGAAGCTTTGAGTCCAGTCAAAGCTAACACACTAAACACCAAAAAAAGAAAAAAAAGCTTAACAGCAAAGCTTTAGGGGGGTTTAATTGTTTTCCAGCTGGGTTTTGGTTGACCCCAATTTACACCATTTCCATTTCAAGCGTAAAGAGGATATTAATTTCGGGGAGGGACACGATTCTATTTGCTTTTTGTGTTTCCATGACAAAGCTAGTCTTAAAAGTTAGTTTTGTTTAGGAACCTAAGTCATAAAAAGTGTTAGTAGTAGCTTTCGCGTATTTGTGATGATCGTTTCATGTTTTTTTTTTTTTATTTTTTGTTTTTTTATTTTTAAACTAAAGTTAACGCAGTACTAAGTCAAGCTCTTTTCTTGGGGGAGTTTTCAATTAACTAGCAAGATTTTTGTGTGCTGGGATCTGAAAAAGGGCATAGATTTTTTTGTGTGTGCTTACAGTTTTCTTGTTTGCTGACAAGACAAGTTTTTGTTTTTTTAAAAGCTATCACAGTACTTCGTTTTTTTATTTATTTTATTTTTTATTTCGTATTTCGTTTTCCACCGTTTTTTCTTCCTTTGCTTCACTTCAATAAATTAATAGTAATAATAATAAACTATAATTAAAGGAACCTAATTTCTTTAACTATATCTCTATGGAGCTTTCCTAAAGCTCTAATCATGGCAAAACTCAAAAAAAAATAACTTAAAACTCAAGACTAATAAATAATCACTACGAAAAAAAGACACAACATCACTCACTGGCAAAATTATGAAAACAAATTAACTTAAATTTAAAGAAAAAATATGGCAAATTAAGGCATATGTATATTTTAAGTCTGAGTGGCGAGTTGAAGTAATAGAGAGAGAGAGAGAGAGAGAGAGAGAGTGATAACGTGAGAGAGAGCGACAAGTAAAGGACGGCTTTCAGGGTCAAAGAGGGCAAGTAGGTTTCTATACAAACTAAGCTTCTATAAATCTAAAGTCAAATTATTATGTTATTTCTAAGAAGATAAAACCCCATCAAATGAGTTCCTCTCTGAAACTAGAGCTTTAAAGCTTTAATGGTTCCCAATTGTTGCAAAGCTTCCTTTATATTTAATTAAATAAAGGATTTCCAAATTATATATCCCATCAGTTGAGTAGCACTTTCATTTATAATAAAAAAAGAGCTTAAAAGCTTAGAAGATTTTCTATTATTTAAAGCTTTTTTCCAAATTTAATGTTATATATGGATCGCAAAAAAATCCAACAAATGTCAATAACAGTATAGACATGAGCTTGAAAGCTTATATAAATCTCCATTTCTAAAAAAAGTCTTTTACATTTTTAGTTAAAGCTTTTCAAAGACTTAAAGACAAGGTAAATATTTTTGAAAATATTACGAAAGCTTCGATGCATTCTAAAAGTTATTGTGTTCATTGTTTTGTTTTCAATTGAATCTCTTTAGAAAGCTTGTCACCAAGCCAAGTTGCTTTTCAAGTTTACGAATTAGATCCTGGTACAAATTATGCAGCTTTTTTGTAGTTAATTTTTTAAACAAATAATGATGGTGGATCAAAGCCATTTGCAAGCTTTTTTCAAAAAGCTTTTGAAATGAGTCTTTGAATGAACAACGTCCAATTAATTACATAAACATAAACATAATTAAATAGAAGCTCCTCCTATACATAAAAATTGCATTCACGAAAGCTCTTGTGTTGATGAATGCTGAGCTTTTTGGAAAAATGATAAATGTCAATGAATTAAATAAAAGATTTCAGTTTTGTTTTTCTAAATTCAACAAAAGCTTCCTATTTTCCCAAATGAAATATGAATTAAGTAAAATCTTTTTTTCAATATAAGTCAATGGATTAAATAATAGCTTTCTGATTTTTTTTTTCTAAATTCGACAAAAGCTTCCTATTTTCCCAAATTAAATATAAATTATTTAAAAGCTTTCTAATTTTTTACAACATAAGATATTAATTAAATAAAAGCTCGTCCTATAGAAAATATTTTAATTCAAGAAAGCTTTTGTGTTGATGAATGCTAATGACGAGCTACCTTTTAATTTTTTATACAAAAAGCCTTTTTGAGACAATGATAATTAATGTCAATGAATTAAATAAAAGCTTTCAGATCTTTTTCTATAAAAAATACTCTGAAATTAATTTCAGTAAATTGGATTTTAGTTAATAGAAAAGCTATATAACTTAAAGCTGCATTTGAAAATAAGCCTTTAAATAATTTCCTATTTTCCATTAACCATTAAAGCTTTCAAGTTGATCAACAATGTCCTATTACAGAAAAGCTTTCACGATGAGTTGTTTATAAATGTGTAAAAAATAGCTTTGGGATCCCATATTTTATAAAAATTTTAACATTTTGAAGGCAGAAATATGAAAGCTTTAAAGCTTTGCCGAAATGTTATATTGCAAATAAGCTTTTCATGAAACCTCTACTTCTGAGTATTTAAGATGCATGGTCAAAAGCTTTTTCTTCAAACTAGAAGCAGAACTATAAAATTAACCATGTCCTACTGAATTAAAGCTTTCACGAGGTTTTTCCGTATTTTTGTAGAAAATTTTTAGAAAATATGGTCGTGCTCCCAAACCTTTTAAAAGCTTTAAAAATTGGAAGGCAGAAAAATAAAAGCTTTCAAGCTTATCTGAAATGTTATATTGCAATTAAGCTATTGATAGATTCACTGCTTTCTGAGTATTTCGACCATAGGTACGAAGGGTTTTTTCTTTAAATGAAAAGCAGAATTATAAAAGCTCTCTAAGATACTCTCAAGGACTGTCTATGAAATTTGGAAATAATTTATATAACATGAAACTCTAAGCTCAATTTTTAAATGTTAAGAAGCTTGTAGACTAGGACATTAAAAATGATGGGATTTTGGGAACCTGAACTTTGCAAGGTAATAAAAAATATTGAAAGATGGGTAGAGAGAGAGAGAGAGAGTTCGTTAGATATGACATTTAAAGATTTTGAATCAGAAACCATTCAAGTCGAAAAAGTTGGGTTATCATTGATTTCGGGTTTAAGGCGGGATTGGTATTATATTTCTTCAAAAGCTTTTCACTTTTGTTTGTATTTTTTCGAAAAAAAATTATTAATAACGCAACATGAAAATTAAAATAATTTCCATTAAAAATTTCTTTAACTTTTCCTTGAAACTTAGGCACAAATTGTTGTTATTGTTAGTGTTCGTCAAAAAAAATGTGAACTAATGTATATTTAACATAATTAAGTACATTATTACATAAAGTAAAATGTAAAGCTTCGGGGCGACCATGATCTCTGGCTCTCCCAAAGCTTTGTGATACTCCATTAAATTGTAAAGAGAGTATTGAGAGAAAAAAGAGAGAGTGTGAATTCTCTTCTTTTTTTAGAAATAAACGAACAACTTTCTTAATGAGGAAAGCTTTGATTCGTTGTGTGTTTAGCTTCTTGTTCTAAGTCGTTGTAAAGCTTTCAGCTGCATCCTTCTTAGGATGTTTTCATTTTCTTAAAGGGATTTAAGACCAAAGCGCTGTTGGCACCAGCCGTTGTGGCTGAGGCAGCAGCTGCTGCAGCATATTGAGCGGCGGCGGGATGTGCACTAATACCGGCTGGTAGGGCTGTTGCTGCGGCTGGCAAAGCTCCCATGGCGGCAAATGGATAACCCGGCATCATGCCGGGTATAAAATAAGCCGGCTGTTGGGCTTGGACCTGTTGTTGCTGCTGCTGTTGCTGAGCTTGGGCTTGGGCCTGAGCCTGTTGTTGCAAGGCGGCATATTGAGCTTGGGCTTGGGCATATTGGCTTTGGGCGGCATATTGTGATTGGGCAGCAGCCTGTATGGTCATGGGCTGGCCACGCATGAGAGCAGCATTTTGCGCAGCTGCAGCAGCTTGCATATAACTTGTGGCAGCCGTTGGAGGCCTTTGCAGTAGAGCAGCTTGCGTAACAGCATTGCTGGCACCATGAACTGGTGTCCCCACCTGGCTGGTTAGACCTGAATTGGGCAAAGAGCTAAGGCTACGCATTTGGGCTGCCACTGCAGCGGCAGCAGCTTGCTGTTGGGCGGCATGAGCCTGCATAAAGGCCGCCTGTTGGGCCATCATATTGGGCGGTGGCACAGCGGTATTGTGACCCGTCATAAAGGCCTTGTTAAAGGTCAAATTGGGATAGGCCACTGGAGCAGCGGCCGCTGTCAAGGGTTTGCCGGTCAATGAAGTAGCACTGGCATTTGCCACCTTGACAGCATTGGCATAATTCTTTTGAGCCACTTCCTTGGCCAGAGCGGCAGCATCAGCATAATAGGCACCCGAGGCACTGCTGCTGACACTGGGATAAGCACTGTAGCCATAGGCTGTGGAATACGAAGGTACTGTGATAGCTTGTGATGTGTAGTGACCCACCGTTGCACTGGTGGACGCTGGCAAAGAGTTGACATAGCTAGCCATTGCCGAGCTGTAGGGCGAGGCAGAGGAGGTGGCTGCAGCTGCCACAGCAGCATTGTATGATTGCTGATACAAACGTTGCATATTCTGCTGGGCCTGATAGGCATTTGTGACTACCGATGAACTGGCGGCCGGCAATGGGGGTGTGGGCAAAATGCCTGTGGACTGGCTGGCAGCAGTGCTTGTGGTTGCATAGCCATTTTGCAAAGGTGTCGATGCATGGCTGCTGGTGGCTGCACTTTGTTCAATCGCATTAGAAGACTCAAGATGGCCATTGAGGCCTTCCTTGTTGGACGGTGATTTGCTGGAGTCATTAGAGGGAGTGGCACTGCCATTCATGTAGACTGAGTGGTGAGTATTAGCTTGTGATGTCATGGCTGAGGATGTAGTAATGCCCTCAGTTGGCTTAATGTCGTTGTCATGCTGCTCTGGGTTACGATAGCTGTTGTAATGACCATCCGCAGCAGCAGCGGTAGTTTTAGATGGAGACAACTTGAGGTCGTTGTGGGCAGAGCTTTCTAAGGACTTGGAATTCGTGTTGTTCTGAACCTGACACGAATCTGAATTAGCAGTTTCTGCTGATGCTGCTGCTGCGGACGAGGGGGAGGCTGTTCCATCTGTAGCTGTTGTATTAGAAGTGCTATTGGTATGGGGACTCAACTTAAGACTAGTGCTATTGTTTAAATTATTATTAGCATACGATAGACAATTATTGTTATTATTACTATTATTGTTGTTGTTGTTGTGATTGTTTTCACTGTTGTTGTTGTTGTTGTTTTCATTACTACTACTAGAATTCAAATTGTTGTCATTGTTGTTACTGCTAGCATTCAATGTCAAATTACTATTGTTACTACAACTAGCAGTAGTTGGTGTTGTTGGTGGTGGTGTTGTTGTTGTTGTCGACATTTCATTATAACTATTATTATTACTATTACTGTTGTTGTTGTTGGTGTTTGAAAATGTGTTGTTGCTGTTTAGGGATTGGGAGGATGATTGTTGTTGTTGGGGTGGTGGTGGTGGGGGAATATTGGTATTGGTATTCAACAATGTTTGGCCATTTGACCCAGTTGTGGAGGACTGGGATGTTGGACCGGAGGAAGAGTTGGGTGAGGACGACATGGCGGAGGCAGATGATGATTGGGTGTTTGATGTTGGTAAATACAGCTGTTGTTGTTGTTGTAATTGTTGTATGTGATATTGGTGTTGTTGTTGTTGGTGTTGGTGTGTTAAATTAGCACCTAATAATGGTGTTGCTGTTGTTGTCGATGTTGTACTTGATGTTGCTGATGTAGCAGCAGCAGCAGCACTAGCAACATTAGCATCAGCAGTAGTAGTAGTAGTTGAATTACAATTGATAATATTTGTATTGGTAGTAGTATTACAATTGGTAGTAATAGTAGTAGTAGTAGTAGGAGTAGCAGTAGTAGAAGAGCTTGTGCTATTTTGAGTTTGATACTCACATGAGACTGGTACAAATGGCTGCTGTAATTGCATTAACTGCTGGTAGGTTGTTGCACCGGGATACACAGGAATGCCAGATTTTTCAGCAGCAGGACGTTTAATTGGTACCATGCCAGAGTAAGCCTGAATGGGAATAAAATTGGAAAAATAAAGAAAAAATTGGGATTAGAATTTTTCGATTCATTACTTTCTAATATAAATTTTTTAATACAAAAAATATAAATTAAAAAAAAAAATAAAAATAAATGAAAATAAAATAGGGAAAAATCTTTAGTATTTTTAAATACAATTAATTATTTTAATAAAATTTGAAATAATAAACAACACGAAATTGGGAAGAATAATATATAGCTATTTGAAATACTAATATTTTTAAAATAATACTCTATTTTATAGATCAATTAATAATTTTTACCCATAATATTTAATATTTTAACAAAATAATTTTGGGTTAGTAAATAAAAACAAAAAGTCAAGCTTTTATGAAAATGATACAACTTTTATTAGCCTAGATTGAGGAAGCTATTGTAAAATCTATATGCCTCAAAATTTATGCCGAAATACATATTTTCACAAGGAAATTCACTTAAAAGTTCTAATGATCCTATTCTATATTTTACATTTTTATTGCATACTTTGTGGAGCTCCCAATAATTTTTAAGGTACGCAATCAACACATTCGTATTTTTTTCCACAATTTTAGCATATTTACAAGGTCTACAGAATGCGTCGCAATTTTTATTTAATTTTTAGGAAGTATTGATCCGTATTTTTTTAATTTTAATAAATTTTTTTAATTTTAACATATTATTTTTTAATTTTAATAAATTTTACCATAAATATATAACTATTTTTTTTATAGCAAAATCAATTACAAGAACCTACATTTTAATGTATTTACGAATATCAGAGCTTAAGGTTCACCGCTGCCATTTAAAGGATTAATTTGGAATACTAGCTAAATCCTACTTTCAATTTTGCACACGACCAATAATATATAATTTTCATTTATAAAATGAAGCTTAATTTAATCTTTCTTAAAATTCATTTCTTTAATGAGCCACGAGAAAAAAAAACATTTCTGCATTGTACATACATACATACAAACATATGTTGTTGTGAGTTTTCTACATGCTTTCGAAAATACTTACGAAATTCTCATAGTAAAATGAACCAACCGCTTTTACATCCATCTGGAGGAGCAAATGAGGCAATACAAATGCAGGAGAGCACTAACGCACACATACAAATATTTAGAATTTCATTTCATGAAGGAGAAGACGATGGCGACAACAATGAAGAAGCAGAAGCAAAAATGTTGTACAACATGATGGTGTTGCCAAAAGTTGTTGTTCAATTACAAAGATATTGGTGTAAATATTGGATGCAGCATGATTCGTTGGTGTGCACGCAGAGAGAGGAGAGAGAGAGCAACACACATAGTTACATACACGTACACACGCGGCAGCAAAGGATACAAAATTGCATACAAAAGGAGTATAACGCACACACAATGGAAATATGGTAGCAGCAGGAGTTTATCCGGCATAGCAAGTGTTGTTGTAGTAGTTGTTGTTATTGTAGCAACAAATAATGTTAAGACAGCAACGGGCGGTTGATTGGTTGCAGCATTGCCGGGTAGTGTGGAGAAAGAACAACACACAGCAGCAGTTTACAGTTGTCGTTATTAGTACAGCAGTTGTTGCAATTGCAGCGTTTTACATCAGTAGCCATGGTGTTGATGTTGTTGTTTTTGTTGATTCACAGGGAAAAACGTATTAAGAAAGCAGTCCGTTGTGATGACCCACATTAGCAGTTTATTTATAGGTTCATCGACAAATGCCAAGACAAGACAAGAAGACGACAATTGTGTGTGATGAGAAGGACGACGGCATTGTTGCGAATGTATTGTGTTATACAGCATCCAGCGCGTTTTATGTTGATTATTAAAGCGTGTTATTTTTTGGTTGCATATAATTTAGCAGTTGTTGTAGTTGTTGTTGTTGCGAATAAGGCGATGATATGATGTTAGCGTTGTTACAAAAATATACAACATCAACATTTATTTATTACAAAGGCAACAAAACCGAAAAACATGTTGGATGAGGCGGTTGGGGAGAGGGAGAGAAAAACAAAAGAAAAAGAGAGAGAGAAAAGGAAGAGAAAAACACTTTTGTTAGTTGTATTCTAGCAATTACGTATGGGGAAAATGTTATATAAGACTAGGTTTTTTATATATTAATATTTTGTTACATACTAGATAAATATATATATGAATAAATAAATATGGAGTAAATACAAAATCTATATGTCGCTAAATTATATGAAAATTAAATAATATATTAAAAAATTAAAAATTATTAAAAAAATTAGACCTCTGATTTGATTTGATATGGAGACGTGGAGAAACTACGGAATCATCTAAAATCGAAAAATTCCAGAATATTTGCAAATAACTGGGGAAACTCTATTGTAAAAAAGGCAACATTGATAGGATTTTTAAAAATATTATTTTTTTTATTCTCGTTGAAAACCCTGAAAAATATCAAATCATTTTCATAAGTTTTATTTACATCATTTTTATTTTTTTAAGGGAATCTTAAAAATTTTCTAGAAATTCCTCCTCGAAATAGGCTTCGGAATAAATTTTTAATAATTCAAAAAAAAAAAAGAAATAAAAGAAACACTCTATAGCACATTAGTTAGGAAAACTAATACTTGGACTACTTAGGCTCTGCTATGGGAATAATTGGAAAACCAGTAAGGAGAAGTCATTGTTTGCAAAAATTTCATCTCAATTGGATAATAAATGCGACCTGCATTTTGTTCACAAGAATACATGGACGGACGCACTTACATGCATAAATCGTGGTGTAGGGTATAAAAATGTACTGTCTTTTGTAGGACTCGGCTTCTTTTGAAACGTTTTCATAAATTTTATGAAAAATTGTCCATGGAATAATTTTAGAAAAATATTTCTGGGCACCAGGGTATAATTGGATATAATCCTTTAAAAAAAGTCCATTACTTTCGTAAGCCCTGGGGCAAATGACATATTTTGCGAATTAGTAGGTTCCGAGGGTTTATAAAAAAATTCCTATAAAATTGAGTATTTCCAGAGCGCCTATGAAAATTTTGAAATTTGGTTTGCCAGGTTGGTTTATGGTCTTGGGAGGAACCCTCAAATTTTTTGTAAAGTAGACTTTTTTATAATATTGCATAATCTCAAGAGGCCTAGGAAATATTTTCTATACACGTGTAAGCTAAAAATTATTAAAAATAAGTTTAAGAAAATCAGTCGACGACAGATGTATACCCTCATTTTTACCACAGTTATGATTAGTCAAACTTTTGACCCTTTATGGACAAGGTTCCGTAGGAGTGTGCCAATATTATACATATTATTTATATTTAACCTAAGTTGTTTGAAAAAGGATTTTGTTGTTGAAGAATTCCTAAGAAAAGTGCAGGTTCCAGAGTATATAGAAAAAACCTCTATAAAATTCCCTATAAAAACCCACCGCCTATTACATTTTTTGAATTATTTAGAGGAGGGTGCCTTATGAAAAATTTGAAAAAGTTGTACTACTTTGGAAAATTTTGTAAAAAGCGAGACCTTATCTCTGTACAATGAAATAGTCCTCAAGGACCAACAACAATTTTTTAGAAAATGTTAAAGGCATAAAAGGTTTATAAATCTTTTTAGATCCTGGAGTCCTTGAAAAATTGTCTGTGCATATGAAATCTTTTCTAGTTCCTTAACATTATTCCTACAAAATTCAAGGTTCTTAGGTCTATCAGTCTACAAAATTGGATTTTTGCTCCTGGAAGTCCTTGAAAAATAATTAAAAACTCCACGAAAAAAATCATAAAAATCCCAAATTCTGAGTGGTCCTTGTAAATATTCCTCATAAATCCACAATTATGCCAGAAGTATTTGCAACATTTTTTCGAAATACCCAATAAAGCATGTAGTAATATTTGAAAAAAAAAAAATAAATATAAATATCCATAACCTTAATAGCTTCGGCAGTACTTTAAAAAAATCCTCCAAAAACTGTGGCTTTGAATATTCTTACAATCCACAATTATGGCTTCGGCAGTCATTAAAAATACCTCTCAAGAACTATGGTTGGTCGATCCAAATTATTTTTTTTTTCTAAATACACAACAATGCCTGTGAGGGTTCTTAAACCAAAGTCTTTAATTATCCACGTTTCTAAAATAATTTACGATTGTGGCTGCCTTGAATAATAAATTCCTTTAAAATTGAAGATTATGTTCGCAGCAGTCCTTGAAAATACATTTTAAAAAAATCTACGGTTATATCTGTTGCAGTCCTTGAAAAAATCCTGAAAAATGTGAAATTGTGCCTATTTAATCTTTGAAAAAAACTTTAAAAATCTACAATTACGCCCTTAGTAGTCCTTGAAAAAAAAAATGTAAACCTCCACTATTATGCCTGTAGTAGTCCTTGAGAAAAAATATTTTTAAGTCCACAGTTATTCCAGTGTTAATCCTTCAATATAAATTACTTTAAAATACATAATTTTATATAAGGCAGGCCTCGGAAAACCCCATGATTATATCCCTGGTTGTCCTTGAACGATTTTTCACAATTTCCCAAAGATTGTGAAAATTACTGTACACAAATATTTTGGACATTCGATTTTAGATACAGCTTCTTTCTCCATAACCATATCAGTTTTTGGTGAAAAACAAAATAATAATTAAGATAATTATACAAATTAATTATATACACAATATTAATATATGTATAATAAATTAAAAACAAATATATATTGGTGAATTACGGGAGAGGGAAGCGGGGAGTAGCAATTTCGAATTATTTAAGCAAATAATCAATCAATTAAATTCTAAATAATTTGAAAAAAATGTTGGCATGCGGTGGCTAGGAAAAAATATGTTCTTAAAATTAAATTAAGTCGTTAAAAACAGAATATTTAAAATAAAAGATAATTCCTAAAAATAACCATTTTCTTCTCTGCACCCATACTACAAAGCATATTTTGTGTTATGCAATTTCCCCGAAAGTATAGTTTTCCCCCTTCCGACCTCCCCAGTAATGTATGTATCTATCGCATTTTACACTCTTTCTTTTCGTTTCACTTTCACCTAAATTAAGTGCAGTATTCACTTAATATTGTTTCAATTATCTACTTAATCATATTAATTAACACTTGTTTTTGATTTGATTTATTATCCATAATTGAGAGATAGTTTAAATGTGTGTGCGAGTGTGTATGTGTAGGTGGGCGGTATATAATGTCAAATTGTCTAGGTGGTGTAATGTGGGAAAATACGGCGTAAAAATAACAGATTGGCGGGGAAAATCTAGTCGTAATGCAACAATAACAACACACACACTCTCTTTCGCACACACACACACACACACATCCATGCCTCAGGATAACATAGTTATTTATATATGTATATTTAAAATACAAACATAATTGCCAATATCAAATTATTGCTTCAAGCATCTAATGAGCATAAACAATTTAGAATAATTATTAAAAATAAATAATAAAGTGTTGTTTGCTTTGGCAAGGCGAAGAACTAGACTTGAACTAGAGAAGCGCTTAGTCGGAAGCGCTTATTATGATGTCGTTTATAGCGATATATATTGGTCATAACGGAGAATTGCAAATCTTCCGAATTTCTACAATTTGTGGGTCACACAAATGATATTTTGGGTTTTAAAAACCATATAATTTATAATTTTATTTTAAAAAAATTGAATACCATCGAAAACAATTATGAATTTATAAAAATAGCGGGTTAGTGGCAGAGGTAAAGAAATATGACTTATTCGCCAAGGTCTACATTTTTAGTATTTTTAACATAATTTTTGGCTTTATAGCTTATGGAATTTTCAGAATTTTTGTATACCCTCCACCATAGTATGGAGGGTATATTAAGTTTCTCTTTCCGTTTGTAATTCGAAATATACATTTTAGACCCCACAAAGTAAATATATTCTTGATCAGCATAACATTCTATGTCGATTTAGCGATGTACGTCCGTCCATCCGTCTGACCGCCGGTGGAAATCACTCTAGCTTCCGAACGAAATGAAGTAGGTTGATAAAATTTTACTCAAATGTATATTATGTCTTCAGGACTTTTGGTTTTGAAAATGGGCCAAGTTTTGATATAGCCCCCATATAACGGTACCTCCCTATTTTCGGTATTTTGGTGATTCAAGCGACAATATTCACCGGAAATGTTTCAAATTTGGTATTTTAAGTTCCTGATGGATACTACAGTCTATGACAGGTACCTCCCGATGTTCGGTATTTTGATGATTTCAGCAACATTATTGACCGGAATCGTTCAAATTTCGTACTGGAAGATCTTAATGGGTACTACAACCTGTGGCAAAAAACCTTGTATGCAGGTTCAGATCTTCGTATAGCCCCTATATAACGGTACCTCCCGATATTCGCCATTTTGATGATTTTATCGACACTATTCACCGGAATTATTTCAAATTTGGTATTTGAGGTTCGTAATGGATACTACAGCCTTTGACAAAAAAGTGTCTGTGCAGGTCCACGTCTTCGTATAGCCCCCATATAACGGTACCTCCCGATATTCGCTATTTTGATGATTTTATCGACACTATTCACCGGAATTATTTCAAATTTGGTATTTGAGGTTCGTAATGGATACTACAGCCTTTGACAAAAAAGTGTCTGTGCAGGTCCACGTCTTCGTATAGCCCCCATATAACGGTACCTCCCGATATTCCGTATTTTGATGATTTTAGCAACATTGTTCGCCGGAATTGTTTCAAATTTGGTAGTTGAAGTTCGTAATGGATACTACAGCCATTGACAGGAAAGTATCTGTGCAGGTCCACGTCTTCGTATAGCCCCCATATAACGGTACCTCTCGATATTCCGTATTTTTTGTGTTTTGAGCGACAATATTCACCGGAATCGTTTCAAATTCGATATTTGAAGTTTGCAATGGATATTAAAGCCTATGACAGGAAATTGTCTGTGCAGGTCCATGTCTTCGTATAGGCCCCATATAACGGAACCTCCCGATATTCGGTATTTCGATGATTTTAGCAACATTGTTCGCCGGAATTGTTTAAAATTTGGTATTTGAAGTTCGTAATGGATAATACAGCCTATGGCAGAAAATTGTCTGTGCAGGTCCACGTCTTCGTATAGCCCCCATATGATCGGTATTTTTATATATAGACCCTAATATAGCGGCTACATACGGTATATTTAAGATTTTAACGGAATTTTAAACTGATTTTATTTTTTTGGAAATTTGCATTCCTTCCGAATTGTGAAGGGCCTAGCCGAACTTACAACATTTTTAGTTATTCTTTTTATAATTTAAGGCCTAGAGGGGCACTGAAAAATTGCCTTTAATATACTGTAGACCTTTGGGGCCCATACAATTTTATGAAATATATTTTTTGAAAAACTTAATGTGAGATTATAATTGCGACCCATGAATAGTTATCAAAAAAAAATAAAGTTATCACAGGGCTCTATAAAAGTCCAAATGACCAAGAAAAAAATTCTAAAAAAATACTTCAGACAAACTTTAGTGAATATTCTACAAAATTCAAAAGGGTCGGAGGGATCAATACAATTATTTCATGTCCCACGGAAGATAACAAATATTGCCTTATATTTTTCGGAGCTTAGCAGCTATACAATTGTTTATAGTTATTTTAATATAGTATTTAATATGCCTCTATATTAAAATAACTATAAAAAATTGTATAGCTCCTAAGCTCCGAAAAATTTTGGAGAATATTTGTTATCTTTCCATAAATAAAAAATTGAATTGGTATTAAAATTTTTTGATATTTACCGATGAAATATTTTCTGTAAAATACTACGAGCCTCGAGAGACAATAACAAAAAATAATATAATTTTTTCCGGAATCCAGGACTATTTTATACGTTTTATAAAATTGTGTATACCTCCGGATTTTGTTTTTTAAATAGTATGAAGGTCGTAATTAGTATATATCTTGTTCTGAGTGCAGAGAAGGAACTTAATTTTTTAAATTGATTTTTTTTTTATAGAATATTTAAAATAAATAAATATTACATATCTATTAAAAATATTTTGTTTAATAAAAATTGCATAAAATTAAATTTGAATATGGAATATTTTTATAAAATAGTTAAAATACATAGTTATTTAATTATATATAAGTTTAGGTGTGATATCATGCATATTAAGTATTTAACAAAGAAAATTAAGAAAATATTTTTTTATTAATTTAATTATTATATATGTATATATTTTCAAAATGAAATCTGCAAACCATAGTTACTTTAACGAACTGAAAATTCTAAAGAAACACAAATTAACCACATATACTTGAACAAATAAAATACTTGTATGTCTGTATGTTCAACGGATTCCAACTCAAACTAACATACATGTATAAGAAAACCCAACAAGAAAATATGTTAAAATAGTAAGAACGAACGTATAACATAAACAAAGAGAAACAAACAATAAGAAAATACGAAAAAAGAAAATAAGAGAAAAAAAGAAAACAAAATAAAATACCAATTGAAACATGTCTGTATCGGCGGCACGTTTCTTGCCCACTTCAAGGGTATGTTGTTGTTGGCCCAAAGACATGGCAGCCACAGCTGCAGCATTGGCAGCAGCAGCTGCTGCTGCAGCATTAGCCATAGCTGGCTGTTGATGATGTTGCTGCTGGGCCTGCTGCTGTTGTTGTTGCTGTTGTAGCGACTGTTGTTGATGAGTGGCCATAAGTGCAGAGCCGTTGAGGGTATTGGTGGTGGTAGTCGTTTGTTGTTGATGTTGTTGTTGTTGATGATGTTGAGGTGGTGGTTGTTGTAGGTGATGTTGTTGTAATTGTTGTTGCAGATGTTGTTGTTGTTGTTGGTGGTGGTGATGTGACAAAGTTGCAGCGGAAACGGAAACAGGTGCAGTCTAGTAGTAATCATGTGCGTGTGATTTATTTTTTTTATATTTGTGGTGTGGGGGTGTGTGTGTGTGCGCGCACAAATGCAAAATGCGTGCATAATGAGTGCAGGCATTTTTTGGTGCATACGTATGCATGTGTGTCACAAACATAAATATGTATACATACGTATATTGTAAAAATATATATAAATGCGAAAATAGTACACCCATACAGCCACAAATATGTTTTTACACACGCAACGAAACGTTAATAAATTTCATTGAAATTTTTCGTAAATGAGGAGTTTTTGCCATGATTTCAGTTTTGCATTTTTTGTTGGTTTGTTGTGCGAAGTTAATTTAATGGTTGATTCATTTGTGTATAATTAAACAATTTTTTTTCATCATCATCATCGTCGTCGTTGGCGACAATATTGTTTAAATCAGTTTTCCAATATAAGCAGTAGTAATATGGTGTGCAAAATTTATTTTCCAGTAAATTAATTTAATTTAATTAATTAATTATTTTATTTGTTTTATGTGAAATGAAATCAAAGTGAGTTTTTTAGAGTAGTTTTTTATCATTTGTGTGTTTTTGATTTTTTTTTTCGCAGTACCATCCAACGTAGAAGCATTTTGATTTAGAAGGCAGTTGTAGTGGTGGTAGTGGTAGTAGTAGAAGTGGCAAAACAGATGACAAAAATTATAGTTGTTTTTGGTGGTGGTGGTGGTTGTGGTTGTGAAGAAATGAAGTAAGTACATAAATCATAAAAGAAAGAGAAAAAAGAAAAGACAAAAATATACAAAATAATTGAAAAAATTGTTCTTTTTTTGGTTTTTTTTTTCGAAAATAGATTTCAGAATAATTGCTGTGTGTTGTTTGTCTTGTCTGAGCTTAAATAATAGTTAGATAGTGTGATGGTGTTAAAATTAGGCGGCATATGCAAAGTTAAAGTAAATGTGTTTGAATTTTTTTTTTTATTTAAAATTTTTCTATATCTCAGAAATATATTTGGAACCATATACTAAAATTAAATTTATAGTTCATAAATCTATAACCTAAAAGTAAGCACTAACATAAACAAATCTACATATCAGAAAGATTTTGAAACTATAGTTAAAATATAAAAAAATATATTTTATTTTCTTGAAATCAATAAGTCTTCTAAAGACTCCTCCATTACCAGTTATGTATAAAGGAAATATTCTATTAAAAAAATATTAATATTAAAAGCAATACATTCTCTAGATTAGCTTTTCAAAATCTCCTCTATTTAAGACAATGAATAAATACAATATTCCATTGGAAAAATATGAAAAATGAACAAAATTTCTTGGAGAAAAGGCTATGACGGAATATTAAAAAAATCTCCTTAGAATGACTACATTTGAGCACCTATAACTCCTGTTAGAAGTGTCACCACAGGAAAAAAAGTACGAATTGAGAAAAAAAAAACTGCCCATTCGAATAATCATTTAGAGGAAGGTCAGTATCTAGCAATGAAAATGCAAAATACATTAAAGGAAGAACTTCAGTTGAATAATAAAAAATTGATGAGTAGATAAATAAAACCCTTTTGAGAAAAAATGCCGGTGCACAGAACTACCGCTCTTTTGGGGAAGTCAACTAAAACACTCGGAGTTTGGACAAGTTTGGTTAGTTTCTACAAAATCCCACTTCAAGGTACTCGAGTAAATATCCTATTTAACCTGAAATAACTTCAATATCAAGAACCACAGTTAGGTATGACAGTGAAAAATGAGGAAGAACGCTCTCTTGGACGCAGGATTGTTTATTATTCATTTAAGAAGTTTTAATGGGAGTGCCTAAAATTATGCGACTAAATTTCTAACAAATAAATGGAAAAAAGTCACAAAGTTGCTTGAACACTAACAACTTCTATATCAAGGACCACAAGTAGAAAGGATTGTGGTAAATGATAAAATACTCTACAGCAACATAGGCAAAATTCTAGTCATAATTCTTTGAAGACATTTTCATGGGGACGCCTAAGAATATGCTTTAATATTTCTAAAAAAAATAATGAAAGGGTCACTTTAGTATTAGGCAGGGTCCAATAATTTACACGACAATGGGAATTCTCCAAGAGAATGAGTTCTACAAAACTTTTTTATCGGAGAATAAATATTGTCTGCTTGTTACATAGAGCGTATGACTACCGACAACACTTATACGACGTAGGTCACTATTTTTTAATATAAGCCACGAATTATAGAACTCATACAAAAAGTCTTTTTCATGAAATCTCATGAATACCTGGGGAAAACGCCCACAGATTTTGCTTTCGTCTAGGATAAATATTGTGAACTGGTACCATGGAGAGTATGACTACTGACAACACTCGTATGATTTGTTTCCACATTTTTTTCACAAAATGTATACCAAAACGCCTAGAGCGCTAAGGTAAAATTAATATTTAATGAAATTATTTTATTTTTTGAAAAAATCTCTACTTCTAACAGCAAAAATTAGGAAAATATAAGTAATTTTTTGTGTAGAGATAGCGATCTCGTTTATTTTCTCAAAATATTATCACCAACATTAATCATTGGATCCCCTTTATAAAAATTGTGAACGGGTGCTCTTATAGCGTATGACTACTGACAACAATTATACGCCACGTGGGTCCCATAATAGCGTTAATGCAATTTTTATGCTGTTAGTTCTAAATAAATTATTAAATATCAGTCTGATCAACCGATAGTGCTGGTAACCTGATAACTAGCTTAACAACCTTCGAAATTTAATCTAGTCTACCCTATGCCGGAAATCCAAATTGTAACCGTTAAGAATGTTATGTTAATGTTATTAAGAATTATATAGAGAAAATAAGGTACTTTTATTTTATTTTTAAAAAAAAAGGGTATCGCCATATTTCTCCGTAAGTAGCCGAGATGAATAAATGTGATATAGTGCTATGGACGTATGATTACTCACAAAAATCATACGTCACATCGACCGATCCAAGAACATTTGAAGAAAGCTTGTGACATGACTTGAGGAAAACCTATTTATATTTGAGAAGTCTGTGTTTTATGTGAATATTGTATTAAATAGTATCAGATTATCTTGTCCAAATATTTTAATTAATTTCAGAATTGTGACGTACACATAATATTTGCCCCTTATTGCACAGACGCTACATGTATGAAACAATTAAATCAATTATACCACATAGTGATAATTATTTAACAAGTTTGGCCATTATTTAATATTTCATAGAGGATTTATAGAGTTAAAATTGTATTTTTTTCAATAACATTTTCCTAAGAAATCAGAGAGAAGAAGAGAAGTCGATATTTTATGTGAATACTATTTGAATTGAAAAGAGGACATCTCGGTAATAGTAACATATAATCTCGTCTAAATATTTTAAGTAGTTGCAGTATGGTGACGTATAAATAATATTTGCCCATTATTGCTCATACGCTACATGTATGAAACAATTAAAATCAATTATACCACCTATTGGTCATTATTTCAAACGTTTTCTTTAATGTCTACTCGCATCGTTATCGAAAGAAAATTTTCAAATAATAAATCAATTAAAAATAAATGTCGATTAAGCACTTATGGCTACTTTCACAATAATATGTTTCTTTCAGAAAAGAAAAAAATTCTAAACACATTTACTTCACTTTAAGCCTGGCATCAAAAGAATTCCATAGATAATAGAATAGAAATACGATTTTGTAAATAACAGAAACAAAAAAGAAAATTGTTAAGTAAGCAGTATATGAAATAAATTCTTAAACATAAAATTAAGAAAAAAGAAAATATATTAAATCAAATAAATAAAAATATATATAATTTATTGTTAATAAAAGAAGCTTAAATAAGAATAAGAAACAAAACATAATTTAGTTGTTTTCGTTTGAGAAATTTGCAAATGTATTTTAAATAAATATTAAATTCAATATTCTTTGGCGCACATTTACACACATACATACACTTAAATAATACAACAAAATCTCCGGGCTGAAATTATTTTTCACACATTCATATAAGTGTTTTCTTTTAATTTTTTTTTTTTGCATTATCTTTTCCTCATAAGTAGCAAACTGGAATTTACCCATTTGCATATTAGAAAATTATTATATCAATTGATTGTTATAAAATACAATTGTTTGTGTTTTTTTTATTTGGAAATTATGATTTTCTCGAATATGATAAAGAAATCAAAAAACAATGGAGGAAGTAAAAACTGAAAAAGAAACTAAGTCCAAGGATTCATATACACATGTGTGTGTTTAAGACAATCAATTTGTTTTTTGGTTTCTTTTCGAAAAACAGCAAGGAGGAAGATTGTCTGCTACAGGAAACAATAAAAATTAAAACAATGTTAAAATTTTCTGGGAAATTTGCCTTTGTTTAAGCAATGTTGTGTATAAGAATGTATGTGTGTTTTTGTATTTGTTTGTTTGTATATACTGTAAAATATACTGTATAGACTAAAAGCTCGTTTAAGACATGTTTTAAGATATTTCAATTGTTTGTATTTGCTAGCATTTTCTGGCTAACCTAACGCATATGTTCACAAAAATGACAGTATTTATAAATTGTAATTATTGGAAAATTGCAAGATAAGGTTTTTTGTTCAGAAAATAATATTATTATACTATATAAATTTCTGAAGGAATATTAAGTAAAATCAAAAATATGTTATGGCTGCGTATAAGTACTGACATGCATCATACGTCCTAGGGTACCTATAACTAATGTATAGAACAAATAGAGCCTACATAAAAAAAAACAGTAAGAATAGAACCCGCAAGACTTTGGTGATCGTGGAAAAATCATA